TTAGTAAAAAAAAAAAATAAAAAAAAAATTTTGCAAGCATCAAAATAAATCTCTGCTGAAAATTCATTGGAATTCAGGTTTATCCATCACTTAGTTTTGCAGTGTTCAGCCTGCAGGTTTGTACTAATTCAAGGCTCATTTCAGGATTCCGTATTACAAACTGAAGAAAAAATCCCTCCCCCCCTCCTTATACACTGAACAGCATCTATTACTTCTTCAAGATCACTGACAACACTGAGATACATGCAAATGAAAAGATATTTATATATGAAAATTTAGCTACCAAACAAGATCCAAAATTGTTTACTATGGTATCAATCCTTAGTAAGACCTCCTATAAACATATAATGCTGATGCCCTTTAGCTTCACTCACTTGTTCAAAGTCTAATCTACATGAAACCCATGCCAGAACTGATTTCCAAGTACCACACATTGCTACCTGATACTTGTACAAACAACCCAAATGAACCCATGTAACATACATCTTGGTATATATATGCAGTATTTGGCTCTGAGATTATTACAAATGCTAAGAAGTCTGAGGCAAAGAACAGCAGTCAAGGGAATGAGAAAACAGACCAAAAACAATGAAAAGTTCAACAAGAACGAGAGAAAAGATTTAGAAGGAAAAAAATAAAATTAAAAAAGGCATGTTATTAGAAAACTCTACCTACAAAAATGTTAATTAGAGCCCAAATAGTATTTGGAACATAAGAAAGCAAAAACTGATTGCATAGCCTACATCAAGCTTTGGACTAATATTTTACTTCTAAAATATATAATTCCCCTACTAGAAAAACATGAACCATTTTGGAAAACTTGAACTTTAATTATTAAACTTCTTCAAGTAAGACATTTTGCCTAACCGGGAAAAATACATTTCAACTTCATAGCAGTATGAAGTTAATAGTTGGACTAACTCCAGATAAACAGATTGCTAAAAAGTATTTAGGGCTGTTCAAAAATCAGAATTTGCTGTTAAGACTAACAAATGAAGCAAATAGTGTATATGTACAATCTGTATCAGCCAGAACTCTAAAACAGATCTTGAACAGGCACATGACACTAACCAAGAAGGCTCCAGAAACTCTTTGTATGTTAGTTTATGGAGGAGATCCTCAACAAAAAAGTGAAAAAAAATGTATCAAGCCTGTTCCTGGTGATGAAGTTATGAGAACACAGTATGTATGCTGGATGATATTACTTACTCTTCAATGCTTTAAGGCACTTGAAATAAGTACAGATACAGACAGCTACATTTAAGAAGTAATCTAGAACATAAACACTGCACCACTGCTATTAGATAAAACATTTATTAGTAAGGATAAGAAATATCAATTTTATTCAAGAGGTCAGAGGTTAAACTGTCCTAAAAGTCAACATAACATAGTCAACATAGTCCTAAAAGACAACAGCTAGCATCAACTAGATGAACGATCAAAATATACAGAACGTGAAATCTGTACCTGAGAGCACTGGAACGTATTTGTTTTGATTTAGAAAGAAAATTATAGTGCAACCTGAAGTCAAGAAAAAGCCTAAGTTTTTGCATTCTTTTTGATGCAACATGCTGAATGAAAACTAGATTTAAAATAGATTAAAATTTTATCTCCTGTTCCATACTAGCTGCCGAGTTTAGTAGGGATAAATGTATGGCAGTACATATACAAATATATTTTATTTCTTTTTTAGTTGCAGCAGTACCCTTACTGCACATATTGCTGATCAGGATCTAAAACACTGACACTGGAAGTATATTAAAAGAATTAATGTATACTAATAGAAAAATTGAAACATACATGCAGTTACTGATTTGACTTACGAGGGCATCAGAATATGGTAACAACCTAAACAATTAAGTCCAAAATGTCCTGATTCTGATCTTCAGTGTAAAACTTTAAATAACAGTGATGGGTGCCAACAGTAGAAAAGAACACACTTTCACTAACATGGGAATTTTCCTGAAAACATGCAAGATGCAGATACAAACAGCACCTATGTTTGCCCAAAATGTTTTTTTTTTTCCATTAAGCAAAGACTCTCATGCTAAATTTGAAAGGAGAATTGTTATTCCAATACTTTTCTGAAATACTTGAGAATAAACTGTAGAATCCTACAAAATCTTTTTATGAAACACATGCCAGGTATGTATCTACAAAAAACTCACATTTTGACAGCTGGTTGGAGAGTGGAAAGAGCAGGGAACACAATTTTAACTTTGTTAACTTGCTCCCCAACAAATTTGGTCCTATCAAAAAGCTATATATGTCCTATCACAACCGTTAATTAAAACCTGAGGTTAGTGAGGTTTTTAAAAACTGAAGGTATTTCTGTTGTAATATTTTAAGTACAATAAAGACAGAAGAGAATAGCTACATTGAGTAGAAATAAATCAGTAACAAGTGGTAGTTCAGTAACATACCTTAGGAGAATATTTAGCTTTAAGACTATTCAATAGAACAGTTGTAATATAAACTGAGGTTCCCACTTCCCAAACTATACACCACATAGCAAAACTAAATTGTTTACAAAAATAAGTCAGTGTTCTTCCCAACTATATACACATACACCCCTAGAGGGGTGTTTCAAGAAGTCTAAGAGTGTTTACAGAATTTTGTACATGAACTATCTATACACTAAAGTTCAAGACTTCATAAAAGTTAAAAATGTTAAATTGTCAGTGAAAATTAGGCAAAAATAAAAATATTCAGTGCAACACCTTAGAAGTTCACATACAAATTTGTTATCAATTTAGTAGTGAGAACTATTATGTCAATTAAAAAGTTTAAAAATTCAATTCTGGATTACAAACAGGTCCTATTTTTTTTTCCAACATACCAACATATAAACATCAATTATTTCAGTTTTGCTTGCACTACTGTCTTGTAAAAGCTTTTTGTTGTTTAGCTTTCACAATATCATCAGGAGATGCAGATTTGAAGTCAAATGGTGTTATGGCTGTTACAGGAGCTATTTCCTTGGGTTTTACATCTTGTACTTGTCTACTGTATAGGAAAGCTTTGTGAATACCAGTTGTGTGTCGCTTATATCCTTTTGGAGGATAACGAAGACATAAGGTTAAAGCAAAAGCTGAAGGTCTTGCACACAGAGCCTTCACCCATGAAAGAGACAAGTCCTGCCTCTTAGAAGCAAGCCCTCTTTTGATCCTTTTATTTGTTTTAGCAAAACCAGAACTTTTTCCCTGCTTTACTTTTAAATGTTTTGTTTCAGGAATTAAGATATTTGACTGTCCTACTATATTTTGTTCTGCAGATGCATCTGTATTTTTTAAAAGGACACTTAAATCAATGTTTGTTCTTTTAGAGGGCTCAGTTACACTGAGCATGGAGACGTCCTTTTTTTCTTGAGCATTATCTACTTCAATAGCCTCTGCTATTAAATCAGAGAGTGATAAATTCTCAACTTCCTTTAGTGGAGAAACTGTAGAGAGGGCTAGCGAAGACAAAGATCCTGTTAACTCTGGCATCCCACCTGAAGTTTGTGGTTGACTTACTAGTTGTGACAATGATGACGCTCCCAAACTCCTATCTGTGAGACTTGCTGTCGACTGGGTATAAAGATCAGCCAAAGAGTAACAGTGGCTTGCACTACTTTCCTGGTGCTCCTGAAGTAAGTCAGCCAATGATGTACTTCCAGACCTTAACACCGGCAAAGCAGCCATCTGTGAAGAGGGGCTTTCTTGTTTTCCACTTTGCGCAAGTGAAGATAAATTTTCAAGAAGTTCATTCTCTCTATCTGCAGTATGACTGACTTCATTAGCAAGAGCCAAATTTCCTAAAGCACTTGATATATAAGGAGGACTATAAAAATTTGCATTACTATTACCATCAGAAACATTTGAGGAAACAAGAGGAATGCTGTCTTGAATATTCAGAGAATCACAAGCCACATTCTGCGTCAGCAAGGATTTCAAGTCCTGTGTCTCCTTGCTTTTGAACTTCTTAAAGGAAGAATTTCCAGATGGGTTACTTCCTATGCTAAAGCAAACATCTTCACTGTCAGGAATCAAACTTACTACATTAGCACATTCTGGTAGTTGATTCTCTGCCTGATCATTCAAAAGCTCACAAAGTGATCCTTTACACAAATCATCACTGAAATGAGACAGAACAAGTGATGAGGATTTCAATCCTTTCTTTTCAGATGAAGGTACGCTGGATTTTTTAGCATTAAGGAGCATTTTGTCATTTGCAGCTAAGGAGTAACAAGCTGAACCAGCTTTGGCTGTCAAGTTTCCAAGCCCAGGTTTGCTGGTGTTGTCAGCAACATTTTCTACTGCACAAGATAAACTGTCTTTATTAATAAATATTTCTGGACAACAAAGTAAGTCTCCTTACCTTACAATAGCCAATAATTTTCAGATGGAAGTGCAGTCACAACGAAACATCCAATTTTTTTTTAAGTAGACAGCAGCAACAAAAATCAAGAAGAAACATGAAAAGGCATTTAATTACTAAGTGTTACTCACATATATATCCACTGTTCTACAATTAAATTATGTTTATCTACTGAAATACTTAAGAAACCTTACAAATCAGCAAAGAAATGCCAGCAAAGGTTATGAAGATTTAAATTATAAACAAAAACACAAGAGTTACTGTATAAACATTACCAAAAAAAAAAAAAAGAGGCATTTGGGATGGGAGATATCAGCTCACCAAACAAACAATAAGTACAACTTAGGAAATGTATTCACACAATTAAGTCGTATATTAGAATACAGAAATTTACTGTGAAATGCTGATGGTTGCTTACAGTCTGAATTTAAGCCGAGACTAAGGTTTTGACTTCCAACTTCCAAGAAAAGCTACTGCTTCCTTTAAATGCTTTTTAGAACACAGAAATAGAAGCTGGTGTTTTTAAAACTTCCAATAAATTACTAACGCAACAATAATCACCTTCACAGCTCGTGAAGCCAAAATTAAATTGTACATAGAAATGAATCATCTTGAATCCAAACAATGAAATAGCAGTATACCTTTTGTCGTCTTTCCTACAATCATAGCATCCTCATTGTGGGTCTTCACATTTTGCTTACTGCCTTGGGAAAGCACGAGATCCAAAGCCTTCTGTACATCAAATTTACTATCCAGTACTGCTTGCACCATTGTTTGTTCTGGTACAGACTCTGCCAAAACTTCTCTCATTTGATCAAGGCATGAATTAAGACGGGCTACAAAAGACAAACAACTGTTATAAACTGGCACAAAATAAAGTCTTAAAAAGCAGCCTACAAACACCATGCACCTGATTTCTTGCCATGATAAATTTTACCCCTAAACCCTGCAGAATATTTGACTCATTTCAAATATTGCTACAAGGAACGTATTACTGACTACTATATATTCATTAAAGTCACTGAAAAATCTTAATGTACAATTACCCGCAGAAAAGAAATACAAATAATCACCTTAAATGGGATTCTGCATTGACTTACTTACAAAATGACTTTGAATAATTTTAACAGCACATTTTAAGTGTTTATAGATGTTATAATTTAGATCTAAAATAAAGCGGCATTTTTGGGACCTTCGGACCCTAACAAAAAAATAAATACTAGCATCCCTGGATCAACATTTCAGCTCTTTAAAATTACCTGCAATCTTAGCTTTCTTAAAACTGTAAAACATCTTTTGGATCACAAAATCTCATTTTATCTGTACCATATTTCTCCATTCCTATGAAAAAATGTCACAGAACATAAAGGGAAATTAAAACAAAACTTAAATAATCAAATCTTAAAAGTGAAAAAAATATATAGAAGCTATTTTTAATGTTCAGAATTTGAGCACAGCTGACAATGAAAGAAAGTATACAACTTGGTAAGCAAACTTTCTTAAGTTAAAGTAGCCAGTAAAATTGCCAACTAAAATAAACCTTATTACATCTTGACTTTCCACACAACTGTAGACTGAAAATTCATGAGGTTGCCATTCACTGGAAGTAGTGTTCTTATCAGATACAAACACAAGCGAAGAAAATCTTGAATATCATGAATTCCTTCTGCCAGTTGTTCAGATTTCAGGAAGACTACTAAACAACAGGAAGAAAACTGCAGGTTCTTTATTTGAACACCTCCTCAAAGATGGTGAGGATTAAAGAACTCTGCTGAACAAATTCAACACCACAGAACTCCAGCTTCAACTGAGGTTACTTAAATCAGCAGCCTTGATCCATAACGCAAACAGAAGCCTATGCTCTCCCGCGTTTGCTCTTCAAAACAAGTACATGAAGAACCCTGGACAATGTGTTCGCTGACCATTTTGTGGGTCCTGAGGGAACTTGCTGATTATAGTTCCTAAGCTGCTATCCATCATATTTGAGAAGTTGTGGCAGTCCAGTGAAGTTCCCTTTGACTGGAAGAGGGGAAACATAACCCCCACTTTTAAAAAGGGAAAACAGGAAGACCCATAGAGCTACAGGCCAGTCAGTTTCACCTTTGTACCTGGTAAGATCATGGATCAGATCTTCCTGGATAGTATGGAAAGGCACGTGGAAAATAAGGAGGTGACTGGTGACAGCCAACATGGCTTCACTAGGGGAAGATCATGCCTGATAAGTTTGGTGACCTTCTACAACACAGTTACAGCACTGGTGGATAAGGAAAGAGCAACTAACATCATCTACCTGGACTTGTGAAAAGCACTTGACACTCTCCCCTATGACATCCTCATCCCTAAATTGGAGAGACGTGGATTTGACAGATGTATCACTTGGTGGGTAAGGAATCAGCTGGATAGTTGCACTCAAAGAGTTGTGGTCAACAGCTCAATGTCCACATGGAGATTGATAATGTGTTGTTCCCCAGGGGTCACTGCTGGGACCAATGCTGTTTAACACTGGACAGTGGGATTGAGTGCACCCTCAGCAAGTTTGCTGATGACACCAAGCCACATGCTGGAGGCATGGGATGCCATCCAGAGGGACCAGAAGAGGCTTGAGAGATGGGCCTTTGTAAACCTCATGAAGTTCAACAAGGCCAAACGCAAGGTCTTGCACCTGGGTCGAGACAATCCCAAGCACAAATACAAGCTGGGCAGAGAACAGACTGAGAGCAGTTCTGAGGAGAAGGACCTGGGGGTGTTGGTTGATGAGAAGTTCAACACGAGCCAGCAAGATGCGCTTGCAGCCCAGAAAGCCAACCAAACCCTGGGCTACATCAAAAGAAGTGTGGCCAGCAGGGTGAGGAAAGTGATTCTCCCCCCTTCCTCTGGTCTCAAAAACCCAGTCTACTGTGTTGTCTAGACTACCTTTATGCACAGACTGACAGGCTCTCTCTTAAGTTACCCTATGCAGCATTAATTACGGCTGCTGTATTACACCCCAATTTAACAGATTTACCCACGTCTGCATATTATCGTAGGTTTTACCAATTTACTTGATATTGAATCTAGATGTCTGTTGTTACAAAATTTTCTGCAAGTTCTGTTTTAAATAACAAATTTCATTCATACACTTTATTGTCTGTTCATTCACCGATACATTTTACCTTGTGCTTATTAACATCATAAAAATAATCCTGAATATTCCCCCAAAAATAAGAACTAAATTAGCTATTAATACTTAGGAAAGAGACTTGTGAATCTTTTTCACAAAACATTTAATTAAGCTATCAGCTAGCAAGTTTAAAAAACAAAAGCAAGGATTTTTTCCCACATCAATCAGCATGGAACGCTGCTTGGAACCTGGAGCTCACAGCTGCAGCACTGAATGGAAACCAAAGCCTAGTGGGTTTAAAACAATATTAGAGAAGACTGTAGAGGATAAAAGAATCTACAGACATTGTTTCAAGGAAAAGCATGATTTAGAAAACCTCTTAAATACTCCTAACTGCAAAAATTTGGAACGCAATACAAGCAAGAGACTATTCCATAAATACTCTATTTCTTATACTCTCCCCTAGTCATCCATTTTTAGAGTCAAAACATTGAGCTAGATGTCTGAAACAGTACAGCTGTTCTTATGTTTGAATTTCATATCAAATCTCATCATTTCCAATTATAAACTAAGACCATATTTCACTGTATGCAAGAAAGTTACAAGTGGCACACAAAAGGTAGTTACAAATTTGAAGAACCACCAATGCTATTGTTCATGAAGTGTGCTGCTCCAATATCAGCTTACAAAATAATGCTATTCTAGTACCAGATTACAAAATAATGAATTTTAATGAATTCAAGTCTTTTTCATGTAATAAACCCTAAACTAGGATTATTTTAGTTAGTCTTTAAGTCATAAAAGAGATTCATCTGAGAAATATTGTTTTTCTATAATTACCTCTATCAACATCACCCAACTGATGATTGGATGCAAAATAACCAGCAGCATCTTCTGTACCTTCGTAGCCATATTCTTCTTCTAACGGCTCAGCACATGTTGCTGGTTTGTCTCGTCTTGAGTAGATAAACTGAGCGGCTATATTAGGTAAAAAACAAAGTATTAAAACAATTCAAATATTATTTCTTCCTTCAAAACCAAAACCTATCTACAAGAAAAAAAGGTTAAGATGCTGACCAGTGTTCACCAAGTGAAAAGACAGGCTGGGCAAAACCCTTGTATCTCTCTATGTAACGAAATTATTCTACAGAGTTCAGTACTCAAATAGAAAAATATATTCCAGGTATGAAAAAGTATTTTTCATATTGAATTACCACCTGTGGCCTAACATCTTCATAGCCTTACTCCACTTTTTTTTTTTTTAAATAAATAAATAAATCAAAGAGTTTCCGGAAAAATCAAAAGCAGGAAAATAAATGCTGCTTTTACAGTATTGCAGTACTAAACTATTGTTAACATTTTAGCTCAGTTGAGCACGTTCTTCTTTTTGTGGAATTTCGTTGGAAACACAGGTCATGAGTTAAAATGTACATTCACACCAAACTTTTAACAGGTGCATAACTCCATTCTGACTTTAACATACACATTAACATATATACAGACATATATGACATACAGAAATGTAAAAAGCGTAACATAACTGATGTCCTTATGTTTCTGATGTCATTGTAAATTTAATATTCTACCAAGCTCATAAATACTTACTGAAACCACATGCAATATCCAGAAGTAGTATTACCTTAGCAACTGTTTCCCAAACAGATACCATTTCATATTCAATCACCATAACTGAAACAACTATTAACATTAAAAGACTATTATACAAATAATTAAATAGAAAGAATCCTTAAGAAAATTACTGTGCACAAACACCAGAATTAATTTTGCGATTTAGTAGTTTATACATTACAGGAGTTCATCACCAAATATAAAACTACCTTATTTCTTAGAAAATGTTTGCAAAATACTAGCAGTTAAACTCAGAAATTGACTATGAGACCATCTTAATTTAAATCAGGAAGCATGACTACAAATAACAAGAACACACAACTTGATTAGCTTATCTAAAAAGAACAGGATGACAGAGGGGCAGACTTTTAAAGACCTAATTAACTCAAGTACCTGCAGCCAGAGGCCACAGACTACATCACAGATGCAGCGGGTTTAGATCCAGTCAAGTTACCTGCAGTATCACAAGCTTAACATCAGCTATACTATTTTTGGGGCTTACTCAGCTCTAGAAACACTGCCACCAAATCTGGGGAAACCCTGAACTAATAATCTTTCAGAGAATTGTGTGATGAACACAACTTCATGGTTTTACAGTCAAGTTGAATTCAGCTAGGTTCAGCCACTCCAATCACACAACATCACTATATTTGCTCCTGTTTTGCAATGTCCCCAAAGCACAGAGGCTTTTTAACACCACACAATCTTGCATGAGAACTGAGGACTAGTGGTGCCTCCCACAATAAGACTCTTTGCCAAACATTTATTCAAAGTTGGGTATGAGATGTCAAATACCAGGTGCAGAATCACAGCTGTTATGCCCAGCCAGGTCCTACTGACACTTTTTAAAGACACCATGTGTTTTAAGACCATCAACACATCCCCATAAACCAGGTTTTTCATATCTTCCAAGTACATTCTGACCATCCATTATCCAAGATAATAAAATTGCATGATTGAACATGTAGACAGTACTTATATGTAATTATTGGAACTAACCTGTTGAAGGAGAAATGCAATAGTCATCTTCTACTGATTGGCCATACACATCATCATCTTCAAAATCTATGAAGCAAAACCATTAAGATTAGTCTGCACAATTTCTAAATATTTAATGCATTGGTTCAAATGACAGTTTTCATATACGGTATTAAGAAATCATGTATCTCCAGTATTTCGGAAGTAAGTACTGTTAATTTGCCAAGGTAAGGAATTCAATGCTGCAACAGTAGAATTGTTTTTCTCTTTAGAGAACAGAATTAAGCATTTAATACACTATTCCTTAGCTGAAAATTTTTTAAAGTTGCAATGCTTCACACCTCCTCCTTCATCATCTCCTTTGGAAGACAGTCCTCATAAGCCAAACTCAACTTTCTACAGTTCCACAGGCTTTTATCCATGGCGTTTCTCTTGATATTTCTGCTTGACACCTCAGTAGCCTAACCACAGAGAGATCCCTACGTCAGTAACTCACACTGGTATTTCTACTCCATACTTATCGATTTCTCACCTTTCTTCTCTGGTCTATCCACCATGGTCAACCACCTGCCAACTCAAGTTCAGTAAGGCAAAAATGCAATTCACAATCCCCTTTGACTACACAAAATTGTCTCAGCCAAAGAGGAAGAATCCTATTCAACTACCTACACACAGACATATGCTCTCTCAATTAGAAAATAAAAATGGTATCAAGAATTATCAGGAATCACAATGAGAAATTAATCTATTTCCAAATAAAAAATAAATTATTCTAATGTTACGTAAGTCTTGAAAATAAATTTGCACTTTTCATTAAGTAAGAATGAAATACATGGAAAACATTTTTAATGGATGTTATTGCATTTGAGTTTTGTGTTTTTTTTTTTAAAAAAAAAGAGTGAAAGGGAAAAGCTAGCAGCTAAAAAGAATTTCTGGTACTCTGATATCAACTTAACAACCACTGAGCTGGGACATTACAAACATATCCATCCAAAAGTGGCACAGAATTATTTGGTAATTTATTAGGTATACCTGCACTAGTATAACCTGCAAGGCAGGCCATGCAATGGTAATGGCTCACACAGATTTAAATGACTTGCCCTAGAAGTTGCAAAAACATGACACAAAACCCGGCCTATGCTCTTTGCAAGAAATACTCAGTGGACAGGTGCAATGTTTTGTATCTGACAAGAGTGGCAACAAAAAAGCTGCTCCTAAACCGAAGCGTTATCTGAAACGGTATCAAGTGGATGTAGGGCCATTTTTCCACACCCAGGGCCAACACAAACAAAACCTTTGAGTGAAGGGCACATTTGACAGTCTGCGTAAATTAATGGGATGGGAAACAAAGAAAGCCAACGTACAGGTAAAAGCCCTGACATCAGCTTGCAGGGAACGAACGAGCTGTGGGGTAAAACACGACAGAGAAGTGGCTCCTCCCCAGACGCTCAGCTCTACCTTTGGGACAACTCCCCCGTGTTGTGGCAGAACACAGGCACCCCTTGGCCAGCGTGGGCGCAGGACCCCAAAGCCTTCCCAAGCCCGCAGAGGGGCCGGCTCGGTTACACCCGGGGCGGCTTTCAGGCCCCTCCCACGCCCCCGGGAGGCGGTCGCTGCCGGGGGCAGGCGGATCAGCCCAGCTCAACCCGCCGCAACTCGGCCCAGCGCGCCGGGGCCGCGCTCTCCGCGACCGGAGGGACCCGGGCCGGGGGGCGAGGCCTCGCCCAGCCCCCGCGGGGGGCACGGGGCCGCCTCTGCCCTGCCCCCCCCCGCCCCGGTCTCCCCCGGCCCCGGGCCCGGCCCCGCCGCGGGGCTGCCACAGCGCCACGGGGCCGGGCCCGGGGCAGTGTCTGAGGAGGGCGGAGGCCCCCGCAGCTCCGCCGGCGGCCGCTGCCCGCCCCTACCTTCGTCGTAGTTGTATCCTCGGACGTTGCGGTGCCGGGACATGATGGCGGCGGGCGCCTCGCTCCCCGCGCTGGCGCTGGCACGGCGGGACTAGGGCGCCATCTTGGTCTCCGCCGGGCCGGGGCGAGTCACGCTGCGCATGCGCGCCCAGGCCCCTTCCGCCCGCGGGCAGCCCTCGCGCATGCGCGGTGCTTCCACCCCCCCCCCCCCCCCCCGCCTGTCGCGGCCGCTGCCTGGGTGGCAGGCAGGCGAGGGGTGGAGGGGCAGGGGAAGGGGTGGGGGCTGCTCCCCTCACGACGCTGCCCACCAGCACGCAGCCGTCCAACCCGCCTGTCTGGACATCTGAGGTGTGACCCTCAGTATCTGTAGGCATTACTTCTTTAAGCACAAAGGTGCTGAAGCTGCTGGAACCGTGCGTGTCTAAGCACTTACACTGAGCTCACAGGGCCACCCGTGCAGCCCAGCGCCTGACCCGCTTACATGGGCGGCTGTCGGTGAATGCCGGCTGCGTTGTTCAGCGTCGCTACTGGCAGCATTAAATGCTAAAAATTCGGTGCTGGGCTCCGTGGTGTTCATGCTCTGACTTCATTGCCATGCGGTGACAGGCAGCACCTAACAGCCAGTTGAGGCCAGGCAGCACAAGCACACGCCTACAGCCTCAGTGGCACAGGGAGGTCGCAGGCCCACGGGTGCTCCCCGGCCTCTAGCACAGGTGTGCCTCTGCCGAGCTGCAGCCCCACAGCCTCTGCTGCTTCTCTCCACGGCTCAGCTGTCCCCCAGATACCTGCACTCAGTGCTCACGCACTGCTAGGCTGGTGATCCCACCAATATTTCTCCAGTCAGATGTCTCTACCTTCCACTTGAGACCTCTGATACTTTATTTACCATTTTCTCATCCTCCTCAGACACCGCCACAAATCCGGCCTCCTCCAGCCACTTTCATGGCCCAGATGTCCCCAGATATCCCACCTTCCAGACACACATCCCCACAAGCACACAGGCCCTGGTTTTCCAGCTGGCAGCCAGCTACTGTCTTGTCCCCTCCCACAAGCCAAAACTGTCACTATCTGCCCCACATCCTTCCTTGTCACTGCCAGAGGCAGGGTATGTTAAACATAAGCCAAAGTTTGTGTTCATATACAAATTGTATGCAAATGTGCAGATTGTTTCCTTGTGTTATTTGCATATTTCTAATTATTTTGTACAGAACAGCACATGCAGCTGCACAAACTTACGATCTATACAATGTCTTTCACATGGTGCTAAGATTAAAGGGGAGCTGGAAACAAAAATTTCTAATTACAGTTGGTGTACTGATGACCCTCGGTGACATAAATGTTCTCTACAGCAGAGGTTTGACAGAAGAAGTGTTAATCGCTATCTGTCCCAATCTCTTGATATGGGTCAAAGATACAGAAGTGAAGAATTGCCACTATACATTATGATTTAACATTACACTTTTGCTGTATGATAGTTCTACATGGTACAAAACATCCTTTGGAAGGTCTTGAGTGTTTTGAAATCCTGATATTAAAGGATTAAGGCTGATTACAAAATGTACCAAAAGCATTTGTAACAGTAGTGATTCCCAACAGAAATGTGTGAAATTTCTAAATAGCTGTTTCCCATTGCTGCTGATAGCAGCGGAAGTTGACAACTAGATGAGCAGACTGATACATTCAAAATAAATTTGCAACGGGAATGTTTGTAGAAAATTCTAAAATGTGATCCACATCCTTTAAAGGTTTGCTGTAACAGTGTGTAGAGCTTGTGGTGGTATCCCCTGTTGAGTGACACACTTCCAATTTCAAAAAATGATTTCAGCATGTACTATCTGAGCCTTTAGTAAGGTAACTTAAGATCTTGTAGCACTACTACCCTCACAACATCCTCCCAGTCTGCCTCCAACAGCTCTAACTTGGAAATAGCAGTTTTTTCAGCCTCCAAAATTACTTAGATCCCATTTTTCAAATGTTAAATGTCCAATAAAAGTTACTCAAGTAAATTTAGATTTTTTTTCTCTCTCAAGTAGTAACATTTCTCATTTAAACCTGACCATCATATTCCAAAGATGTTTCTTTTATCCTTTCTAATCACACTTTTTACACAAATCACCAGCTGCTTATCAACTAATCATTTTTTCATGTTTGAATTTTATGTTCACATTCAGCATGTTATCACTCTTGATTTTCAGTGACTGTGATCTCTGCAGATACAACCCGTTTCATTTGCTTGATATTCAAATGTAACATTGTTTTCAAGATTTCAAAATTAATATTTAAAAGAAGAAAAAAATATAATAGCATTAAAAAATACAAAGATTATCTAAGCCCAGTGTAGGAGACAACATACTGTACAGTCTTTCCACAACATTAACTGTAAACTTGGAGGTGGCTCTTTTTATTCATTTAAAGTATAGTAATTTATAGCAAATAAAGATCTGCAAAGCAAAACAAGAACAAGAATTTCATACAGAAATTCCCTTTTATTTCATAGTACAGCAGTATCATCAAAGAGTCATAAATACACAGTGATCATCCCTTGCCTTTCCTTCACTCTAATTTTATGGAAGGTGACGAGGTACCGAAGTGTTCAGGAAATAATGAGCTTTAGTTCTCAAGCCCTAGCTATAGCTCAGTTAGTGCTATTTGTAAGTGGATGCAAGGTTCATGAAAGGTATTCACCAGGTAGCAAAGCAGTCTGACTACACATTACTCCTTCAGCAGCAATTACAGCTCCAGCAGAGAACCGTGTCAGTCTGCCTCCAGCAGTTCTGAGGAATGACTAATGAGGTCACTTCTGGTAAGCACTATGAGCATTTGTTTCCTTCCTGCCCACTGAGATTATATATTATTTTAAAGCGTGTTCATTAGGAAGTGTACCAAGACCACTAGACTCAATCCAGGTGGCGGCAGTACTGGTAATCTGTTTTTTTTCATCAGTCTCTGAGCAATCCTATCCCCAGCACCACTGTTTTTTTTTTTTTTTTTTTTTTTTTTGTTTGTTTTCTTTTTCCTAACAGTGAGAAACAACTAATACAATATTTAATAATCCAGAATAAAGTAATTTTAATATTTAATCATTTGTTTAGCTAAGGAGAAAATCCTTTCAATGGTGTTACTTTTTCTTGATGTGAAGTTATGAAGTTAGCCAGCTTTTTAGCAGTTATTCTTAGTTAAAAAATATCCAGCCTATTTCAATATTGTTTCTTTTTAAACTAAAGTGAAGCAAGACATGGTTTGGAAAAGAGCAGCATGATTCCAGATGTCATACCATACTATGCATTATGTGTGTTAAGTTTTAAAATATAGATATTATCAATGTCACTATGTACTCTTCCAGCTGATAAATGATCCTACTAGATCAAAAGAACTGCAGCCAATTAAGTATGTCTGGTTTTGTTTAAAATGAAATCGTCTATATCAGAAGTTGATTAAGAGTCAGAAGGCAAATAGTATTAATAAATGATCATTTTGTACATATGATAACTTAGCAAGTGTTTCCAATTTTCTACAGCATGAATGAGCTTGTTGAATATATTTTTTATTTCTTTGAGAATGGATCTATCTGCAGAACAGCAAGTTTTGTGTTTGAGTTAAAGTGATTTACATTAGTCTAGACCTTATACAATTTCAACAGGATCCAAATAAGTTAGATGAATAGGTAATAAATTGGCAATCTGATGTGGAAAATTTGCTTTTTTGGATGGTTTAATGCGGAGCATTTTGTGCTCCTCACAAGTTATAAGCTTAGCGTTGTAGTAAGGATTTGAGAGACTTTCACTATGTCTGTATTTCCCTGGCCGCTTTGGGCTCAAGCCCAAATTTTCCTGTCATCCTACTGTCTCCCAGCCTACTCTCTCTCAGTCTAATTCTCATGTGGAATGAACCACATGATGGTCCAGAAAGGGAAGCTCAGCTCCTTTGTGAGGAGGGGTGCTGTTGTTGAACCACACAGCTACCAAAGCAGGAGTTTGAATTCAAGTACAGTTGCTGAAAACATAGTAAACATAGCCACAGTAAAGCACTCACTGAAAATCTTAGATCAATTGTTTTTACCATTGAATGCAAATGAAAAGTTGAGATATGACATGATTGCAATTGGAGAGTTGCATTCACTTCTAATTGGTTATGAAGTGTACAGTTGATACAGGGTGAGATAAGTGATGAAAATCGTCAGGGGCATGGGAAATTTCTTACATGAAGATTGAAACGATTAAGACTTTGTCTTACAGAGGAGATGTAGAAAATGGGACGTGACCAAAACATATGCTAGGGAGTGGCTCAGAAATAGCCATTGGTTGTTTCTTTTTTTGTTTATTTTTATTTCTTTTTGTTTCTTTTTGTTTCCTTGTTTGTTTGTTTCTTCCACTCATAGAAAAAGAGGGAATTACTCAAGACTAAAAGGAGGCCAAATTTAAACTGATAAAAGCAAACAATTTTCATTCAACACAGAATTGGACTGTAAAATTCACTTCCAGAAGAAATATCAAGGTCAAAAGCTTAGCAGGGTTCAAAAAGTTTAGATACTTGTGTAGATGATGAGAATCTTTAAACATGTTCACAGCAAATGTTTAAAAATGTGCATAAAAGTTTTGGAAGGGATTGAAATTTTCATATAAATGATTCAGTCCACTTTTAATTGTTACAGGCAACTGACAGGATAAATTATTGAGAGCTACAGACATACGGAAGAGACAAAACATGAGGCTGTCATTATGATTCAGGGTTAAACAAGATGCACGTGTCTGTGCTAAAGCATATTATGATGACTCATATACTTATGGTGTAGCACCATTCTCTTGTATGTGATTGTGTATATTAACTTAGCAGTCACAAGTTTGTCATGGATCCTTGCTATTATCATAAACTGTATGTCTTCACCAATACATCTGTGGTGCAATACATTTCTTAAACATAGGGATTTAGGCAAGTTTCCAGTAACACCATTGGGATCTTATTCTATTCACTCAACAGAAAAACAGAACTTATATTCTGAAAAATATCTTTTAAGCAACATAGGTGCAAATCAAAGTAGGACTAACATAGTTTGAAAAGTCCCTCACTTCCCTGGTTAGAGTCATTCATCATGCAAATCTTACCAGGACATTCCACTGTTGATCTCTTCATATAGACATATAGGCCTTAAATTAAAAAG